AGGCTGACCCCCCTTGGCTGCTTTTCATGCTTTTGCAAACTGGATTCACACCCTCTTTCCTGCATATCTGGAGAGGGCTTGACGCCTAAAGCTTCTAGAGGCGGGGGCTCCCCCAAGAGAACCAGCAGGGCTGTGATGACCTGCTTCTTCCCTGTGTGTCTGCCTTAAGTCTGAGTTCCCAGAAGCCTTGGGGCACTCAAGGTGCAGCCCCTCCACCCCGGAGCCCCTCCCTGACTAGGCATATCCACCCACACCTAGGACAGCACCTGTCGATCCCAGGGAAGCAGCTGCCCTTCTGCTCAGCAATGAGGGGCGAACAGGTGAAAGGCGTACCTGGTGCGCCTCCCCCAACACCCCTAGTCCCCATGGGACTTGGATAAGAATGTCGGGAGACCAGAGGGCTGCCATGGTGGCATCAGCTTCTAGAATAACAAAGAAACTTATGTGGGTGGCTGCCAAGCTCACAGCCCCCAGGGAAGAGAGAATAGTAAGAGGTGGTGATAAGGAAAGGGAGCAAGGAAGTGGTGACCCCCCGAGGGGTGAGTGATGCAGGCAGCAGAGGCCAGAGCCCTGGGTGCGATGCCCTATATAGGCCTGAAGGTTTTGTACTTGGCCTTGGCCTCAGGGCTGCCAACTTGGGCACATGGACCCTTGGTTGTGAGGCTGTCCTGGCAAGAAGATGGGGTTGACTCGGTGCTCCCACCTAGCAGGCAGCTGTATGCACAGGCTTCTGGGGTGGAGGTGAGGGTAGGGTGGAAGAGGTGACCACATGTTGAAAGCTCCCTATGTGCCAGGCACAGTACTAACTCATTTAATCTTCACAGCAACACATTAAATATTAGTAACTATTGCTATCCCCATTTTACAGACCAGGAAACTGAGGCCCAGATATGTTAGGTAACTTGACTAAGGTCCCCAGCTGGCAGAGCTGTGATCGGAACCCATTCGGTCTGCCTCCAGAGAGCATCATCTTAGCCACCGCTCTACTCCACTCTGTGCTGCTTTTCTTCAGGGGCCTTAGCTCAGCAAGTACTTATACGTTCAATAGTGTGATTATATCATGAACGTTGATGTTGACCATGAGGCTGGAGGCATGAACCTTGCCTGCTTTCCTGTACTGATTCTCCAGCACCTTGCACACAGTAGGTGCTGATTATGAATTCAAATGAAGGAGTGAGCTAATCAGTCAGTCTTTGAATGAGACCTGCTCTTGGCCCTCCCTGTGTGGGGAGCAGGGCTCGCCTCCTGCCCCTACCCCAGCCAGCATCCCAGTGGGTGCTGATGTTGCCATGGTGACAGTAGGAACATTAGAGCCTGTGCCTCATTCAGGTGGCCTTGTCAACTCCCTGGGTGTAACCCTTTCTGGCTGTTGGTCCTGCAAATGATTCTTACTTAGCAGGAGGTTGGGGGGGGGGGGGTGAGCTTCACACAGAGATGTGTGAACAGGAAGTGTGTGTGTGTGTGTGTGTGTGTGTTGGGGGAGAGTCCTCAAGTTTGAATGAGTACGCCCTGGGGAATATTTGCCTGCAGGTTTGTTGGAGAAGGTGCCTAGGTCAGAGGAGGGAGTGTTTATGTCCTGGGACAGACTCTGGGTTGGGATGGGTAGTGTGGCCATCAGTGGGGGGAGGTGTTGGGCGGGGGTCCCAGTTGAGAGGACCAAGGTAGGCAACCCTATTGTCCAAACTGAGAACCAAGCACATTGTTCGGCAAGGGCCTTCTGGTTTGTGGATGATTTATAGGGGAAATCTTGCAAAGGTAAAAATGGAATCGCATTCAGTTAAACATTTGATAGGTTCTTTTATTGGGAAGAATAAATTTATATGCAAATATGGAATGATGGGATGCTGGAGGTAGGAGCTGGGGTGGGGGTGCTCATGCCTGGGGGGGGGGCGGGGGCTGGGCAGCAGGAGGCTCTGAGGCCTTGCCTCTGGGCAGCCCTTCAGCTTGGCATTTAGGGGCTCAGAGGAGCCAGCCCCAAAGGTCCCTGCGATGTCTGCTTCACCTCCTCAGTACTGATCACCTGTGATGTGAATGCTTGGTTGAGGGCGGCATCCCCCACTGGACTGTGTCCCTGGTACATTGTAAGAGCTCGATAATCGCTTGTTGAATGGATTAGCTGATGATGAGCAGCTGAAAGCATGCACCCCCTTGTTTCCCCAGCAGCAGAATTCCCAGCTAGAGAAACTTCTTGTATTCATGCACGTACAAGCTCCTTGCAGCCCTGACCTCCTCACTCCACAAACACAATAGGAAGGTACCCAGGTCTGTCCATGGCCACAGGAGGAAGCTTTAGACAAGGGGGAGGCAGGAGTGATGTCCCCTTCCACGCCTGGCTCCACATCAGAGGCCCCAAAGCCCAGTCTGAGAGTGACATGAGACCTGAACGGGCTCCGCAGGCATCAGCAGCCTCTCCCCTGTTGGGCCAACCTCTGCAGCGGGCTGGGGGCGGGGGCGAGCAGGCTTTAGCCACCAAACAGGTGAAAGCTGACCAGCATATGGTTGGCCAAGAACAGCCTCTGTCCTAAAGCCTGAGGTAGGAGAGGAAATTGTCTCCCCTCTGCCTTTTCCCTATTTCATTCCAGGGATGATACGATCTCCTACTGTGTACAGTCCCCTTACAGCTGGGCAAAGAGAGGAACAGGAAGATATGGCAGCTTCCATGGGTGACCCTTGTATCCACCTGTGTGTGCTGAAGGCCTGGTATCAGTTTCCTCTTGTGGAATCAGTATCTACCCACCCCCTTCCCCAGTCCTGCCTGTCCTCCAGGGCCCAGCTCAAACTGCACTTACTGAGAGCTCATTTTGTTCCACAAGCTGTTCCAAGCTTATGTATATACTAGAGGCCCGGTGCACAAAAATTTGTGCACTCGGGGGGGGGGGGTCCCTCAGCCCAGCCTGTGCCCTCTCGCAGTCTGGGACCCCTCAGGGGATGACCACCTGCTGGCTTAGGCCCGCTCCCCAGGGGATTGGGCCTAAGATGGCAGTCAGACATCCCTCTGGCAGCCCAGCAGCCCTCGGGGGATGTCCATTTGCCAGCTGGGAGCAGGCCTAAACTGCAGTCGGACATCCTTAGCGCTGCTGAGGAGGCAGGAGAGGCTCCCACCACCACCGCTGTACTGGCAGCCATCAGCCTGGCTTGTGGCTGAGCAGAGCTCCTCCCATGTGAGAGTGCACTGACCACCAGAGGGCAGCTCCTGCATTGAGCATCTGCCCCCGGGTGGTCAGTATGTGTCATAGTGACCAGTCATTCCCAGTCCTGCTGTTAGGGTCAGTTTGCATATTACCCTGTTACTACATAGGATAGAGGCCTGGTGCACGGGTGGGGGCCGGCTGGTTTGCCCTGAAGGGTATCCCAGATCAGGGTGGGGGTCCCGCTTGGGTTCCTGGCCAGCCTGGATGATGGGCTGATGGCTGTTTGCAGCTGGTCACACCCCCTTCAGGGTGGGGGTCCCCACTGGGGTGCCTGGCCAGTCTGGGTGAGGGGCTGAGGGCTGTGTTCAGGCTGGCGGGTGACTGAAACTCCCAACCTCTCCTTTTTTCCTTTTTTTATTCTGGGATTTATTTACCTTCTATGGCTGTCACTGGAGCTGAGAGCCGGCTTTAGCTCTGAGGCTCAGCTCCAGCTCTGAGACCTCGGTTTGTTTGGCTTCTATAATTGAAACACTGTTGCAACTCCAGCTCTGAGGCCCAGCTGGCTGAAAGCAGGTTTCTGGGGTTTGTTTAGCTTCTATAATTGCAACATTGTTTCTTAGACTACAGCTGAGAGGCCGGCAGCGGCAGGCGGAGAACCTTGGCTTCCTCCATCACTGGAGCAAGCAAGCCTCCTGTTCGCTTCAGCTGCTTGGCTGCCGGCCGCCATGTTGGTTGGCAGTTAATTGCATATCGTCCTGATTAGCCAATGGGAAGCGTGTCAGAGGTATGGTTAATTACCATGTTTGTCTATTATTAGATAGGATATTCATTTCATATTCATGTTTAATTCTCATAGCCCTATGAGGCAGACCCATTATTATCCCCATTTCACAGATAAGGAAACCAAGACACAGAGGGTTAGACAAGTTGCCCAAGGTCATTCAGCTGGACAGTGGTGTAGGGAGCCAATGCCACCCCTTCCATGATGCTTTCCTTCTTTGAGCCTCCCCATGTGTGAACAGCCTCCCTTTGCTATGAACTCAGAGATGCTGATTCTTACAGGGGTCAAAGCTCCCTCGCCAGGCGGCAGGTGCTTTAGAGTCAGAATCCCTGCCCCCCCCCACAGCGCCGAGCACAGGGCCTGGCTGCGCGCCACCTGCCCGGGGGAGTGCTATATGAATGAATGGCAGTGCGTGGGTGGGTATGTGGATGAACCAACACACTGGTTAGTGAGGAAGAGAGGAGAGAGGAATTGGGATTTTCCCAGGTAGACAAGTGAACGCAGCCTGCTGGGAAGGGTTCAAGGGCAAATGCAGGGGCCCAGTGAGCTGGGAGCCACCACTCTTCAGGAGCGTGCTTGCTGCTGGATGTCAGCACGGGCCAGGGACCTTGAGGGAGAGCTGTCAAAGGCCCTGTCTTCAGGGGCTTTTAGGCTGGGCAGGAAGATCACACGAGCACCCAGGAAGCCACGGAAGAACAGTGGCTACTGCCTGTGGCCGTGTCCTCCCGTGCACTCCTGTGTCCTCCCATTCACTCATGTGTCCTCCCATGCACTCCCATGTCCTCCCGTGCACTCCTGTGTCCTCCCGTGAACTCCTGTGTCCTCCCGTGTCCTCCCGTGCACTCCTGTGTCCTCCTGTGCACCCCCGTGTCCTCCTGTGCACCCCCGTGTCCTCCCGTGCACTCCCTTGTCCTCCCGTGTCCTCCCATGCACCCCCGTGCACTCCAGAGCTCTTTGCATCCTCCTTAATCCAGCCTCCATTTTAAGGGACTGACTCATCCTTAACACCCAAGAGGAGCCGCGGTCCCAGCCCCAGGTCTGCCTGTCCTGGGCCCCAGTCACACCCAGAATGCTTCTCTCCCTTGCAGGGAATACCAACAGCATCTTTGCCCTGGACTACATCAGTGGGGCGCTGACCCTGAATGGTCTGCTGGACCGGGAGAACCCCCTGTACAGCCACGGCTTCATCCTGACGGTGAAGGTGAGAACCCGGAAACCTCCCTCTGGGTAGAGGGGATGCCCACGCCGTGGTGCCAGCCTCCAGCAGCGTCCGAGGTGTCGGCGCCCAGGAAGCACATTGCTTCTGCGCTCTCACCCTGTGCTGATTCCTGGGGCTCATGCCAATGAGCATCAGGTGTGGGCTATGTCAGGGGCCTTGCTGGGGACATAGTAGGTGCTCATCTCGTGGTCCATACTGTTATCCATAAGTCAAGTTCTCTGCTGTAGCCACCTCAGGTTCTTATGTTCACCCCATTTCTGGGTTTTGTCCCATTTCTAATTCTCAGGGCTTCCCTGGGGCTATTGCCTTGTTAGGAAACAGCAGTGCAGCAGGGAGGGGGTGGCAGCCACAGCCCTGCCCCGCCCCGCCCCCCTCCAGCCCCTGCAGCCACCTGCCTCTCATGGCCAGTTTTAATTAAAATCAATGACTTGCTGAGCCATTCCCTGGGAAACCCATTTAGGGCATGGATCCTGCCTCAGTCACAGGGGTCCTTCCCAGCCCCAGCCTTCGACTGGCAGGAGGAGGTGGCACAAAACCTGAGGAGAGAACTCTGAGAAGTAGGCCCTTCCGTTGGTGTGGGGAGGACGTTGCAGCCCAGCCTGGCTCCTAACTGCTCTCCGTGACCTTGAGAGGGCCTAGGGCAATGATGGGGTAAGGAGCCCCCTTCCACCACTGGCTCCTTCCTCTCCACCTGATGGGCATGTGTGGGCCAACATGGCCTTTCCACCACCAGCACCAAGCCCGCGGGCCCTTCTCAGCCTTCCTTCCTGTGGAGCAGGAGCTCCAATGGGAGAACTGCTTCCTAGTCCCATGGCAGCCACCAACTCACTGCGGGACCCTGAGCTCGATTGTCCATCTTTATAGAAAACTAGAGGCCCGGTGCATGAAATTTGTGCAAGAGTAGGCCTTTGCAGCCACAGCGGCTGCCTCAATCCCATGGCTGCAGCCCTGCTTTGTCTGGAAGGTCATCTGGAAGGACGTCCGGACGGCCGTTCAGTCGATGTGCATGTTACGCTTTTATTATTATAGATTTTAGGGGCAGGTTCCAAACTGGCCTGTGAATCCAGATCCCTTGGGAGCTGGTGAAACATGCCTAGTCACGGGCCTCTTGCCCAGAGACTCTGGTTCAGAGGTTGGGGTGGGGATGGGAAGGTATTCTGGGGCTTGGGGGCTTTTGTCTAGAGACTGGACACCAAGGTATCTGATTCCATCTACTCCTGAGTCCCATCCAGACCCTCACAGTGCCTAGCACAGTGTTCAGTCCATAGCAGATGCTGAATTAAGTCTTGATTACATGACATGGCAGCATAAAAGTTCTTCGCCTCAGTTTCATCATCTGCCAAATCGCATACTCTCCCTTTGCCCCGCGATGAGCCCCCAAATCTATCTTATCCTCTCCACCCCACCTCGTCCCCTTGGTTCTAGAATCCTACTGCTTGAGTTTGACACCTGCTGTGGCTGTGTGTCCTTGTACAAGTTACTTAACCTCTCTGAGCCTCGGTTTCCTCATTGGTAAGTGGGGATCGTTACAATGGGAATGCTAATGATAGGCTCTCCTCCTGGGGCTGCAACCTGGGTATGTGCCCTGACTGGGAACCCTGAGAGGATGAAGTGGGATCATTCACACAGAGAGCTGTGTCCAGCATTGAGAAAGCCCTGGGAAATGATGGCTTTTATTGTGATCATGGCTGCCTTCATCCTGAAGTGTTTGTCCTCCATCTGCAGGGCACAGAGCTGAATGATGACCGCACCCCCTCTGACGCCACCGTCACCACGACCTTCAACATCCTGGTTATTGATATCAATGACAACGCCCCAGAGTTCAACAGCTCCGAGTACAGCGTGGCCATCACTGAGCTGGCGCAGGTCGGCTTTGCTCTCCCCCTCTTCATCCAGGTGGTGGACAGGGATGAGGTGAGTCCCTGGAACTATGGCCCATCTAGACCCACCACCCTGCCTGGGTGTCACCTGGTATCCCTGTGCTACAGCCCCACCCCTGCTGTGTCTGAGGATAAATAAGGCTGCAAAAATCAGTGGTCTCTAACTTTTCGACTACTCCCTACCCCCTGCAAAAAACGTCTGAGTATATACCTCCAGCATGTAGTCATTTATTTAGAAGCTATATGCATGATTGTTCTACTAATATAGTATGTGCACTATAAAACATATACCCAAAAATAGGCATTTTAAAGGGTAGAGGCTCTTGTATACCTGCTGACCTTGGGAGAATGTTTTATTCCTGCTTCCAGGGTAATTATGACCCTTCCTTTTCCATTCGAGGAGTGTAAGTGCTTTCAAGGAGATCCAGGCCATAGGAGACCCCAGAGGGGTCTGGGATGCCTGTATCCCCTTGCCCAAGGACCTACCTGGCTGAGGCCAGTCTTAGAAAGAAGGGACTTGGGCCTCAGTGAGGAAGAGGTCGAGTGGGACAGGAGGGAGGAGGCTCTGGGGCTAGGCTGCAGCCCCATGAGCCCTGGCAGGCCCCTGTGTCACGGGCCATGGGCCACAGGCCACGGGCCAGGCTCGGATGAGGCAGGCTTCTATGTGGATGGGCCCTCTCCCCTGCCCGTCACAGCCACAATTGTCAACAGGACTTCTGTTTATGACTGCTGCTCCCCAGCCCACTCAGCTCAGGAATTCCATTAGGTTCCCGGCCCGAGGTCCTTCCTGCAACGACTCCTCACTCGGGGCTCCTGTGCTGGCCTGTCCAGGCCCAGCCCTCTCCTCGCTCCTCCTGCCCCCTCCACTCTGACTGCTCTGCAACTGCCCAGCATGCCTGCCTGCCCCCCCCGCCCCCCCCCCCCGCTCCCCCCAGGAGCCCTACCTCCCACATCCCTCTCCTCCTGCCAGCTTCTCTCAACTGGAAACGGTCCCCCGCAAAGGCTCCAGGCCAAAAGGGCAGATCCGTTCCTGAGGGGTTGTTTGTGCCCCCCCCCATCTCCCAATAAGTCATTTCAAAACCATCTGTCTGAACCCTATTAAAGACCTATTAAGCACCTATTGGTTAAAAAAATTTATATTTGGCCCCTTGAGGGAGGTCAGAAAGTATAACCCCAGGGGCCTTTTCCCAGGACCCAAGTGTGTTAACCCCAAAGGGAATGAACCCTTTGAAAAGGAAAAAGCTTTGGGCGGGGGGTTCAGGGAATGGGGGCATTCCCGGGCACTAAAGGCAAGGATTGAATCCGAGCAAGGGCATAGCCAGGTGCAGGTTCGAACCCCGGGGCCGGAGCCTCGGAAAAGAACCGAGCAAGGTTCCCTCTTGGGACGAGGTTTTTATACCCCGACTTCCTCTCCCTTCCCCTTGG